CAAATAATTTTGTATCGATTTAACTGTTAATAAATCATAAATATAGCCAGTAATAGCAAAATCAATCAATTATAATAAAGCGCAATATAATACATAATCAATTTATAAATAATAATTTTCAATAAGCCTTAATTTGTCTATAATATTTATATTACTATTTTACTAAAGCAGAAACTTTTACTGAAATTTCATTAAAAAATATTTTGCTACTTAAAGAAAAAAATTGTATAATTGTTGATTTAACAGTGTGAGTGTGAGAAAAATTCGTCACTTATCAGAAATTTCTTCGAACGTCTACCGTCAAGGAAGTTCTTGCAGTATTGCCATATTCCTGTTGCTAGACATCATCGGCGTCATGCTACGCGGATGTCGTTGACGTTTCGAATACGCTGTCAAGACTAGAAGAGGTAGAAAATCTTCACGACCTCTTTTTGGTACCGATACCGACCGAAAAAGAAAAAAATTGTGCCGTTTTTTTTCTCGTTTTAATTATAATTTTATTTTATATTTTCATCAAAATGGAACTGTATGTCAAGACAAATATTGTACCGTATTATCCCTGTTTAATGTAGACTAATATATTAAGAATTTGAATCGCACATGTTTTTTTAATTAAAAAAAAATTATTTAAAGAGTACATTAAATAATAGTAAATAAATTAAAAGCATTAAACTTCTTTACGAATAAAGTTTTTTTCTCGTTTTAATTACAACTCGATTTTATATGTTTATCAAAATGAATCGTACAATCACGTACAAATATTGCATCATAACATTCCTGTGTTTAATGTAGACTAATTTATTTTTTATTAAGAATTTGGATCGTACACATATTTTTTTAATTAAAAAAATACTTATTTAAAGAATACGTTAAATAATGATCAAATAAATGGAAAGCGTTAAACGGGTCTTTCTTACGAATGAAGCTTTTACCTTAACGAGAACTTACATTAAGGGTCGTACAAGTCGTGTTTAAAGTGATAAATTTTTCCACGTCGTTCACATCTTACCGAAAATCTTTTACGGGGCTTCGATGAGGTCCGATCAAGTTTTACTGAAAGACCGCCGTTTGTGATGCAAAAGATGCGCTGACCGTATTCCGGCAGGTCGTTTTTTTTCCGCCTCGAAAGGCCATCAGCTTTACATTACGCTGTATTGGAGATTAGTTTCTTTGTGACCCGGCGGCGCATCTATCTCTCGTTTCCTACTGTCTCCTACATGGTGTTTACGCTGTTCTAGATCGATAATCTACGATGGTATTCTACACGGAGCAAGGAGAAAACGATTGTGCTTCTTCGAAGTTTTTGTACCCAATACGCAAACTTGAACTTACCGTTAATTTATCGTCGTATTTCACGACGGAATGTAAATCGGTTTGCAAGTTTCTTTTTTCTTATCAAAAAAGATTACGTACAATAGCGAAAAATTCGCAGATAAAATTTAAAATTATTTTTATCATGTATAATTATTACGTCTTTTCTACGCAAATAGGTTAATTCAGTTATTGTTATAATGAGCACAAGTTGGGCGGAATTATCGGATATAAAATTATTGTTAATTGATTTTTATATTGAATTTAAGTTGTTCCCATTAAAATTTTTTAATAATAGTTCGGACGCATTTCGCTTTCAAGATTCAATTTTTTTTTAATGTTTGGAACAAAAGGCACGTACAGCAAACGCGATAGTATCTGTAATTCTGCTCAGAAAATATTCCCTATGTTATTTTATTTCTCCGACCGAGTTTTCATCCAGCGCGTAGTAAGATAATTTTAACGAAACAGAAACCCAGAAAGTTGTTTCAATGTGTATCTAATTGCACCCGCGTTACAACTGTCAGATACATAAACACAGCCGACTGGCGCTAATGGAAGTTCAACGTGGCAAATAATCGATTCCAGTTTGCGGAACATTACGATGATGTAGATTACACGAATAATTCTCAGTTCAGTTACGTATCAACGTCGGCCGGCATACTTGCCAGGATAATTACTTCGAGACCAACTTGCGCTCACGTTCATTATAATAATACTGAATTAACGCATTTGCTCAGAGGAGAGGTAATAATTAAATGTACATTCGTGTATCATATATTAGCTTGTATACAAGTAGCAAAAGAAAAAGTAAATATTTTAATTTCTTAACTTCGATCTCGTTACCGGAATTTCTTCGAGTCCAATTAAATTCAATTTGATGTTCGATAATTTGACGATTATAAAATATATTACACAAAATTTGGCTGCATCTAATCTAATAATATATTCCTAAAGTTATAAAGTAACCGGAAAAAGAGAGTCATTTCATAACTGAAGTGAGAAAACACCGAATACAAGAAAGCATCTCTATATTTCTGATAAGAGTTAGTTATTTTGAACGTGACGCTTTTACTTTGTCTAATTGTTGTCAAAACTTCGTTAACCGCATTTTCGTTATAACTAATATTATTGCACAGAGATATGCAATACTGTGCCTCTCCATTCAAGATTACGCATTTCACTATCTCCGCTGCTAGCTTTGTCTCCGGGTTGTTCATGCACGTGCCTGCTATTCACCACTAGTAAGGAGAAATTGTGTCGGGTTTGAGTGTCAGTATAGTAATAGAGAACAGATTCCAATTTACAGCGCGTAGGAACAAGGGGCCCTTAGATGCAGCTAATCCGATGTACGGAACGGCGTACACGGATGTATCAGCCGTTTAAGCTGCTTAACGTCAAAGTGACTCGAGGTGCCTCCAAGTAGTGAGTTCAAGTGGGTGTAACTTGTTTTATCGTATGACACGTGTTATTCAGACGATTGCAAACGATACGCTCACTCGTTGAATGTTCGCCGTTATACAAGTACGCGATAATACTCGATAAGTTGTCGGCGTGCAGCGATATCGCGATGAAATATCGCGGTAATACTCTCTTAAAGTTCCTACTGTTTCAAGTTCGTTGTAAAAAATTGACAAAATCTCAATTCTACAGAAAATTGATCCCAGGAAATCGACGCAGTTTTATAAATAACAATACTCTCTAAATCTAAATCAGTGAATAATCGCTGATTATCAATGGTTATTCATTGAATGCATCAGTCCCAAGTATGTGACTGGTAGTTAGTAAAATTCAATTGATAAATCAATGAAACATGAAAAGCTATTTCGCTTATTCATTAGCGATGCAAGGCACTGACTCAATCATTGACTTTTCCACTGATTCAGATAGCATGTATTACGCACTCAATTTCAATGTCATCGAATTTTAAACCTGAAATAAAGGTAAATGTGATGATTTCATCGTGATCATATATTTCTTTGCTCTTTACAGTATTTTAGGATGCTCGTAGCATCATTATCGAATGAAGATCAGATTTAATAAATACGTGATATTATTTCAGCTGTAAGTTATGATTGCGTTCTTAAAGACCGACAGTAATTAATCGACACGCAATTTATGATAGCTGAAATTTAAGGATTTAAAAATTAAGACTATTATTGGGCAATCAAAATCTGGCCTCGGCCAAATTTGACTTTATCCCCTTCGTTATTTATTGTATATCGGCCTTGTTTAAATTTGTTCTTATCATATATCTTTTTATTCTCAAACATAATCTAAAGGATTATATACTAAGAGATTCACATAGCGAAAGAGGTAGACAAATGTTGATCTAATCGGACACGCAATGCCTCTCGTTGAAAGTGCGTCCGGTGGATCGACTTATCACTTCGCGACGCCAGGTCCCTGGTACATTTATTTTATCCTCCACGAAATCCTCGTACCGGTGAACCAATAAAGCGGCAAAGTTCCGTTCAGGCGAGCTGAATCGCGCGAGGCACAGATTGAGTT